AGGGAGGGAGGTGGGGAAGGGAGGGAGGGAGGGAGGAAGGGAGGGAGAAAAGGAAAGAAAGAAGGAAGGAAGGAAGAAGGGAAGGAAGGGAGGGAGGGAGGGAGGGAAGGCAGGCAGGCAGGAAGGCACAACGCTTAGAAAAGGGAGGGAGGGAGGGAGGAAGGAAGGAAGGCAGGCAGGCAGGCACAACGCTTGGAAAAGCAGGTCCCTGCATTTGCCCTGGCCTGAAAGGCAAGGCTTCCCAGCTCCATGGAGAATGGATGGAGAATGATTCCCTCCAACGGGCTGTGATGAACCAGACAGCCCTGGGGGGTGGCCCTTTTCAGCTCTGAGTCACTCCACATCAATCACCTCACCTCCTAGTCTCCTTCCCTCCACACCTTCATCCTCCCACAAACCAGGGGGAAAATTCACGGAAAATGTGGCAGGGCGGCCATTTCATCCTGACACTGTTACAGTGCACAATGCCACGCCCAGCCACACATCTATGCTGCAGTCCTACCCCTACCTCCAAGCGACGCCCTGGGCTGAGGGGGAGGAGCCCAGATGATAGTGAGGTACTCGTTACACAGCGGGAAGAAACCTGGGTAGCAGAAGCTATAAGATGTGGGACGAGAAGCTTGAGCATTTCCTCCACCATAGAAGGGCAAGAAAGAAAAGGACATTCTGGGGCAGATGGGGACAATTCAAATGCCAGTGGGGACCAGCCAGGTTGCACAAATGAGGGAAGGAAGGTCAGCCCGGGGCACCCAGCAGGCAGTGGAGGCTACTGTGATGATTTATATCGCAGACACCCCATAGTGGGTGCCCCTTCTCTGCTCCAGCCAGTTTTGCCTTCAGGAATGTGGCCCGGATCTTGAGAAGCCAAAATCCAGATTTTAATGTAAAATCCCCCAATTTTTAAATGCAGGCAAACAAGCCAGAGAGCTGGACGTGGCCCAGGGGCCACCTGTTTTGCAGCCTCCATCTGGGGCCAGCAGGATGGGACCAACTGATTGCAGGAGGGCGAACTTCCAGGCTGGTGACCCTTATGGCATAGGCACATAGTAAGCGCCTGCTGTATGTCCAGGATTCCACCTCTAGCCAAAACCTCCCTGGTGTGGTTGTGACGAAAACTCCACTGGCCGAGCGCGGTGGCTCACACCTATAATCCTAGCACTTTGGGAGGCTGAGGTGAGTGAATCACTTGAGGTCAGCAGTTCAAGACCAGCCTGACCAACATGGTGAAACCCCATCTCAATGAAAAATACAAAAATTAGCCAGGTGTGGTGGCCACACATGTAATCCCAGCTGCCCGGGAGGCTGAGGTGGGAGGATCACTTGGACCCAAGAGACGGGGGGAGGTTGCGGTGATCTGAGATTGTGCCACTGCACTCCAGCCTGGGCGGAAGAAAACTGCAGAATGTGGGAAGCAGGAGCAAGGTGGATTGGCCTGGGGTGGGGTACTCACAGGTCCCCGACTGCAGGGTCAGTACGATGACCAGGGGGCTGATGACCAGATGCAGACAGTTGAGGGGCCGTTTCCAGTTCCGGTCATCCTTGTCCGGGTCCACGACGGGGACGGTGAGGAGCAGCAGGAACTCCACGGGCAGCTGTCAAGGGGGCGAAGATGGGAGGGCGTCCATAGGGAAGCCTGAGTCCCAGCCAGCCACAGACGGACTTCAGTGACTCAAGAGCTTGGCCGTTTGTTTTCGAGCGCCAACTGTATGCAGGTCCCAGGCTAAGCGCCTGGGTGCTTCTGGCTAAGCGCCTGGGTGCCTCTGGCTACTGGCACAAATGACCACAAACAGAGTGACTCTCAACAGTACAAATGTCTTCCTGGACAGTTTTGGAGGGCAGAAGTCCTGAGGTCAAGTGGTCAGCAGGGGGTGCTCCTTCTGGAAGCTCTAGGGGAGCATGAGGGTCCTTCCAGCTTCCAAGGGCCACCTGCCTTCCTGACCCCACATCATTCTACCTGTGGCCACTTCCCAGTCTCTGACTCTGCCCCTCCTGTCTCTTTCTCCGTGCCAACCCTTGTGATGACACTGGGCCACAGGATAAGCCAGGCTCGTCTCCAGATCTTCCATCATGTCTGCAAAGGCCCTTCTGCCGTGACTGCAGCATCTTCCCAGGCCCAAGGGGTTGGGATATGGATGTCTTTGGGGGCCGCTGGAGGGCAAAGCGCCAGGTCAAGTCATCAGCCAAGCTCCATGCCTCAGTTTCCCCATGTATTCTGAGAGGGTCTCAGCGGACCCCAGGCCCTCCCTCTCATACAGCTGGAGAGGGTACAGTAGCCACTGTCTTCCCGCTGTCACTAGGCTGTGAGCCTGGCTCCAGGCCCCCTCCTACCTTGAACACCTTGAGGGCTTTCCAGTACGCTGACTTCCTCCTCCACTTCATATAATCCAGGGGGTTGAGGGCCCGGGCCAGGATCTGAGCCGTGGTCTCCTGGTAGAACAGTAGCGGCCGGTACTCGTCACCTACGTGTAGGGGGTGGGTGGTGAGGTGTGCTTGCGGCTGACCTGACCTCCAGGAAACCCTCCCTGCTCCCACCCCACCGGTCCTCCCAGCCCTTGGGGAGAAGGCAAAGCCCAGTGCCCAGCAGAGGGCAGGTGACCCTGGCCCTTGGCTCACCTGAGCTGCAGTGAGATATAGGGCCGATTTGCAGCCTCATTCCTGGAACCCAGGTCTTGGAAGGCTCCATCTTTCTACCCCAGCCTTGCCCTGGGACCCCCACTCTAGCTAAGCACAGGGCGTGAACTCACCATAGTCATAGCTGTTGGTATTAGAAGATACCCGGTCCTCCTCGGAGTCTGAAAGGATCTCTGCAGGAGACAGGCTCAGCTGCAGAACCCAGACCGTTCTCAAGGGGCACCGCTGGGACAGAGCAGGGGTAAGCTGCAAGCGTCCAGCCATCTTATTTACTTAGTTGTGTGGGACAGGAGCTTTCTCTGGAGTGACGTGATCACGGCTCACTGCAGCCTTGACCTCCTGGGCTCACTCGATCCTCCCACCTCAGCCTCCTGAGTAGCTGAGACTATGCCCAGCTAATTTTTAAAAAAATTTTTTAGAGATGGGGTCTTGCTATGTTGGCCAGGCTGGTCTCAAACTCCTGGCCTCAGCAGTCCACCCGCCTCAGCCTCCCAAAGTGCTGGCATTACAGGCCTGAGCCACTGCTCCGGCCATGTCCAGTCCCTCTTTATTTTGGATTTCTAGCAGTTTACATGCGTGCTCGGGAATTCCTGCACAGTGAGAAAGTCTAATTCACCAAACACGGCCAAACGGAAGCATGCAGCTATAATGCTAAAGTTAACAGAGGCATCTGAAGACACAACTCAGACATTCACTGACTTCAGTGTTGTCTTTTTCAGAAACTGGAACCCATGCTATTTTTCTCTTCTCAGGAGGCCTGTGGATGCTGAGGCCTGGGGCCTGTAAGGAAAACGGCCCTCCTAGAGTGAGGAGTCCACTCTAGCTCTGATGCTGCCTTTGAGTGTGTTGTGTGTGTGTTATGTATGTGTGTGTATGTATTTGTATATGTGCTGTGTATGTGCATGTATGTGTATATGTACTGCATGTTGTGTATTGGTGTATTTGTGTGTTGTGTATGTATGTGCATGTATTTGTGTTGTGTGTGCATGTATTTGTTATGTATGTGTACATGAGTTTGTGTTTGTGTATGTTGTGCATTTATGTTTTTGTGTGTGTATGTGCATGCTTGTAATTGTATGTTTGCATGTATGCGCAAGTATCTGTGTTGCATGTGTGTGGTGTGTATATACATATTTGTGTGTGTTATGTGTGTGAATATACTTGTGTATGTTGCATGTGTGCACATATTTGTATAGTGTGTGCATGTCTCTATGTGCACTGCATGTCTGCATGCATATATTTGTGTGTTGTGTGCACGTGTTTGTATATGTGTGTTGTGTATCTGTGTATGCATGTGCATGTATGCTTTTGTTTCAGATGTGTATGCATTTGTGTTGCACATGTGTACATGTATTCATATATATGTATTGTATGTACACATATTTGTTGCATGTGAGCATAAATTTCTGTATATGTGCATGCATGTTGCATGTGCGTGCATATATTCATGTGTTGTGCACACATATTTGTGTATATGTGTGTGTAAGTGTGCATATATTTATATATATGTTGGGTGTATGTGCATGTATTTGTGTGCATGTATGTGTGAGTTGTGTGAGTGGGTGTGCATGTATATGTGTGTAAGCTGCATATTTGTATATCTATAAATGTATATGTGAGTTGTATATCTGTGTGTGTTGTATGTGTGTGCATGTATTTATCTATGTTGGATGTATGTGTGTGCATATATGTGTGTGAGTTGTATTTGTGTGTGTGCATGTATGTGTGTGTGCATGTATTTGTCTAAGTGTGTGAGTTGTGTATTTGTATATATATGTGCATGTATTTGTATGTGTGCATGTATTTGTTTATATGACTATGTTTGAATACTATTGATTTCTTTGTAATTATTTTTTAGTTCTCGGTGTCCCTGTCATGGCAGCATTTGTGTTTTACCCTGAGAGTGCTGGGAAACATCAGGGCAGGGAGCAGTGTCGATTCTTAGAGAGATTGCCCTAGCAACTGCATAGAGGAGGAAGGAGCACACTTGAACCTGCAGAAGATGAGGATGCTCATGGGCACCCATGGAAGCATAGAGGCAGGACCTCAGCAGGATGAGTAGAGAAAGCATAAAGAGGTCAGGCATGGTGGTGCACGCCTGTAATCCCAGCACTTTCGGAGGCTGAGGTGGGAGGATCATGAAGTCAAGAGATCAAGACTATCCTGGCCAACATGGTGAAGAGGAGATGAACTTGGTGGGGACAATGGCCTCAAGAGACCCAGGGCAGCAGTGAAGGGCACAGAGGCTCCCAGTCCCCGCTGGTCCTCTCTGAGGTCCGATGCAGACACCTACCTGGAGTAACTGGCATGGAATAGACCAGAGATCCTCTCCGTTGCCATCGGTAGATCCAGGTACAGAGAATCACAGTGACCACATAGAACACATACAAGCCCAGGTACCCTGCAGACACGGTGCAGGCCGTCACCAAGTGGTGTCCTGGCTGCAGGCCCAGAGAACAAGGGCTGGCAGCTCTATCTATCACTGGTGTTAGTGGTGGCAATATGTGTCAGCCCAGCCCGGTACCAGTGGGCAAATTTGGCCTTTTCTCTGAGCTCCCCACTCCTTCCTCCCGCCTCCCAGGACCATCTCCCTTCCTGTCTCTCTTGCAATTGAGGAGGTAACGCCAGGCACAGCAAACGACTTCCAGGCCGCCATTCGAGCACTAAGGGTCGGTGTCCCACTCCGTGCCCTGGGAGGAGGCAGCCCTGCAGCTCTGGCTACAGCCAGGTTCAGCCAATGGGAGGCCAGACAGGAAATCGGAAGCTTCGGGAGTTTGGAGTGTTTCTTCCTATTCCTTCCCTGCTGCGTGTCTCTGGCAGGGCCTGTGATCCTCTTCAGTGCATCTCCAGCCCTCCAGCTCTCAACGGGCTCCGCCACCCCATTCCCTGCCCCTTCTGCCACGGGGGATGGGTGTGGTCACAGCTCCCACTGTTGCTGGCCCCTGGGTATCTTGCATCTCAGTGTCCCTTGTGGGTTTCATTATCCTTCTGCACGAATTGTGCCTCCATTCATCCCCCTGGAGCCATCTGCAGGGAGCATGCTTGCTGTCACCATCCGGGTAGCCCCAGTTAGATCCCCCTGTACTGCTTGTTAAAATTGGAAATTATGAAACTTTTTTTTCTTGAGACAGAGTCTTGCTCTGTTGCCCCGGCTGGAGCACAGTGGTACAATCATGGCTCACTGCAGTCTCGAGCTCCTAGGCCCCAGGGATCCTCCTGCCCTTAATTCCAGAGTAGCCGAGGTCACAGGAACACATGCCTAGCTAATTTTGTTTTCTTTTTTGTAGAGATGGAGTCTCACTATGTTGTCCAGGATGGTCTCAAACTCCTGAGCCAAGGTGATCCTCCTGCCTCAGTCTCCCATAGTCCTGGAATGTTAAATGTGAACCGCCATGCCTGGCCAAAAAATTGTGAAGCTTTTGAATATTCCCTCCCCAGCCGCCGGCTCTGCCAGGCCTCTTTGGTTATGTGGCCCGCATGTTCCCATTTTTTGCTCAAGCCAGCTTGAGAAGGGTTTCTGTTGCTTGTCATCAAATCAAGACCCCCACTGATCACCCCTCACATCCCTCTGTCCCAGGCACTTCCTAAACCTCCTGCCCATCAGTCCTGGAATCTCCCACCTGAGCCCCACAGCTGCTCACCCAGAGCCCACGGCAGTGTGACCCTGCCATGGAAGAGCATGATGAAGGTCAGGAACACAGCCACCATGTAGAAAACGATGTCCCTGAAGAAGGGCCTGGAGGCAGCCATGAAGGGGTGCAGGATGGTGATGCCTCCGGCCACCACCGTGGTAACCAGCACACCAGCGCCTGGGGAGATGACGCCAGATCTCAGCTGCCCTGCACCCTCTCCTGCTGCTTCGCCCGCCCCCCTCACCGGGGCTGCCCTCACCAAACAGTGCCCCGAGGGCCAGGCCAGCTGTGTGTGGGTCGGAGAAGGCCACCAGGGCACTGAAGATGTCAGGTGCACCATTTCCAAATGCCAGGAAGGTAACACCATGGGGGTGTATGTCAAGGGGGGCCAGGGTCGCAGCTGCAGCCCACCCAGGCCTTACCTGGGCCATGTGCCACCACCCTGTCCCCCAGCCACCCCACAACTGCCCTCCCTCCAGGGCACAGGACACTGGACAAAAGGATACTGCCACGTTGTGGGAGAGCTTGAGCGTGGTGGAAATGGCCGACAAGTTGGGGCAGAAACTATGGAGAAAAAGTGGACAGGAAGCATTTCCATAGTGACCTATCCTTCCCCCAAACCCAGGGTGACTGAATGTCAGGCTCCTGGGGCCCCTCCTCCCAACGATAAGCCGGACCAGAGCCCAGGCCCAAACTCACAACTTGGCCGCGGTGACTCCCAGAATCAGAAACAGGTAGAGCAGCCAGGAAACCTGGGTGGGCAGACGGCGGGGAAGGGAGAGTCAAGTCCAGCCGGGGCCACCAGCCCCTCTCACCAGCCCCCCGGGGCAGGGCCTCACATAGAGGGTGACAGCCAGAGGGAGGAGGCGGGGAGGGAAGTGGCAGAAGATGCCTTCCAGGTAGTCCAGATAGCCCCCATCACTGTGGCAGTCAGGGTTGGTCCGGATGAAGTCACAGCGGTCAGAGACATTCAGGCCACACACCTTGCGACACTGCAGGAAGACAAGGAGGGGGACATCAGAGTCAGAGGCCTCCCCGAGGACTGGACTAGGCCTATCTAAGCAGCTAAAAATAATGTCCCTCCAGCCTGGTCTCCAAGGCCATCATACCCTCTGGGTGGCAACTAGGCAATTTAAATTTAAAAAATAAACATCTGTTTGAAATTGATACAAGTAATTTATGAATACATTTTTTAAAAAAATAATAAAGATTTCTAAATTCCGCTTTCTTATCCCTGCCCTCCATAATCTCCCCCCTCCAGTGGTTCCACCATAATTAGTTTGAAGCACATCCTTACAGACATTTCTCAGATCAATTACATTTATACATATACCCTATTACACACTTTGTTTTGTTTAATAGAAATGGGTCCATCCTAAATCTCATTTCTATAATTTGCTCTTACCATTTTATACACACACATACACACACACACACACACACACACACACGCAAACACACATTAATACACAGAATTTGAAACATACCATAGTGATTTCTATATGTCAAGCATAGTGCTAAGAGCTTAAAATGTATCTCAATTAATCTGTATAATAATTCTTTGAGGGCTGGGTGCAGTGGTTCATGCCTATAACCCCAGCACTTTGGGAGGTTGAGGTGGGAGGATTGCCTGAGCCCAGGATTTCAAGACCAGCCTGGACAATATAGCAAGACCCCATCTCTGCAAAAAAAAAAAAAAAAAAAAATAGCTAGGCATGGCGGTGTGCATGTGTAGTCCCAGCTACTCAGGAGACTGAGGTGGGAGGATCGCCTGAGCCCGGGAAGTTGAGGCTTCAGTAAGCTGTGACTGCAGCACTGCATTCAGCCTGGGCAACAGAGATCCTGTCCCAAAAAAAAAAAAGTATCTCTACTCTCCACAATAATCGAGGAAGGAACTACTATCATGCCCATTAAATAGATAAGGAGACTGAGACAATGCCCGTGTGCACTCAATGGGAGAGTCAGGGTTGGAACCCAGGCAGTTTGAAGCACCAGAACCCAGTGTTCTCCCCTGCCTCCTGAGGAGTCTTTTACCATAGCAGAGTATTTCGTACTATGGGTGATACATCACTGAGATAACCATGTCCCTACTGGGCAATTGGGTATGTCTAATTTTTCAATATAACCAGTGAACTTCTTCACACATGACTCTCTGAGCACGTGAGAGAAAAACGTTGTTAGAGGGGATTTGAGAAGTGAAAGTGCTGAGTCAGAGGGCATTCAGGTCTGGGTTCCTCCAGAAGCTGACTCAGACAAAGACTGAGATAGAATAGTGTGTTTGGGAAAGTGAAGGAACACAAACACAGAGAAAGGGAAGTGAGCTCGGGTGCGGTGGCTCGTGCCTGTAATGGCAGCATTTTGGGAGGCTGAGGCTGCAGGATCACCTGACCCCAGGAGTTCGAGACTAGCCTGGGCAACAGGGCAAAACCTGTCTCTACAAAAAATTAGCCGGGCTTGGTGGCATACGCCTATAGTCTGAGCTATCACCTGAGCCTGGAAGGTCAAAGTTGCAGAGAGCTAGGATTATGCCACTGCACTCAGCCTGGGTGACAGAGTGAGATCCTGTCCCAAAAGAAAAAAAAAAAAAAGAGAAAGAAAATAAAATAGGAGAAAAGAAGTGGTACAGAGAGGGGATAGCTGCCATTGAAAGCTGGGCTGAGCCGGTTACCACCACCATGAGCTTCATCTGGGAGCAAGGGAGCTGGGGTATTTATACACCAACTCCCATCAGCCACTGGGAGAGGATTGCTGGATGGAGGTTTTAGTTCCCCGGCACCTCTAGCTTACTACACTTATACGTGGTTCTAGAACAAGAAAATGGCAACTGGAAGTCAACAAATGCCCAACAAAATAGTAGTCCAAAAGAAATTGTCGAGGTCCTGACGGGGGATCTTCAACATTGCTGGATTTTGCCAGAATGCCCTGCCCAAGTTCTACCTGTATTCACTCTCCCCAGGAATGGGAAATGAGCAATTCTCACAAGTCTGCACCAGCACCGGCTACGAGCAGCCGTATGATGAATGTGATAGGAATGTCATGGTTAAACTGCAAGTCTGTCCAGGTGCAGTGGCTCATGCCTGTCATCCCAGCACGCTGGGAGGCCGAGGTAGGTGGATCACTTGAGGTCAGGAGTTCAAGACCAGCCTGGTCAACATGGGGAAACCCCATCTCTACTAAAAATACAAAAAATAGCCAGGCATGGTGATGTGCACCTGTAATCCCAGCTACTCAGGAGGCTGAGACAGGAGAATCATTTGAACCCAGGAGGCAAAGGTTACAGTGAGTCAAGATCACACCACTCCACTCCAGCCTGGGTGACAAAGTAAGACTCCATCTCCAAAAAAAAAAAAAAAAAAGTTAAGACAGTAAATTTTAGGTTATGTATATTTCATTATACTTTTTTTAAAGCTTTGTCAAACCACAGTTCCACCTCCTCCACAAGCCCTCTCTCAACTCCCACCAACACCAAACTGGAGGCAAGATTTCTTATCTCTGAGCCTCTGGCCTTCTCACCAATTTTTGCTAAGAGCTCTGCCCACCACACAGTATCCCCTGAGCAGAGGCTACACCCCCTCAATCCCTCTACAGTGCCGTGCCCTCAGAAAGCACACGCCAGTGGGGAAGACAAAATCAGTGGTCAGGGACACTGGCTCATGCCTGTAATCCCAACACTTTGGGACGCTGAGGCAGGAGGATCACTTAGGCCCAGGAGTTTGACACTAACTTGGGTAACATAGTAAGACCCATTACAAAAAAATTTAAAAATGAGCCAGCATGGTGGCACACGCCTGGGGTCCCAGCTACTTCGCAGACTGAGGTGAGAGAATTGCCTGAGTCCGGGAGATTGAGGTTGCAGTGAGCTATGATGGCACCACTGCTCTCCAGCCTGGGTGACAGAGCAAGGCCCTGTCAAAAAAAAAAAAAAAACAAAAAAAAAAAATACCCAAATGCTTTTTTTTAGATCAGGACAGCCTGAGCATAATATCCACTCAGCCACTCAATTCGACTTTTTTTTTTTTGAGATGGAGTCTTGCTCTGTTACCCAGGCTGGCGTGCAACGGCATGATCTCGGCTCACCGAAACCTCTGCCTCCCGGGTTCAACTGATTCTCATACCTCAGCCTCCCAAGTAGTTGGGACTACAGGCACCCGCCAATACACCCAGCTAATTTTTATATTTTAGTAAAAATGGGGTTCACCACATTGGCCAGGATGGTCTCAAACTTCTGACCTCAAGTAATCCACCCGCCTTGGCCTCCCAGAATGCTGGGATTACAGGTGTGAGCCACCACGCCCATCCCCTTTTCTCCTTTGAGACAGAGTCTCGCTCTGTTGTCTACGCTGGAGTGCAGTGGTGTGATCTTGGATCACTGCAACCTCCACCTCTTGGGTGCAAGCGATTCTCCTGCCCCAGCCTCCTGAGTAGCTGAGACTACATGCATGCAACACCACACCTGGCTAATTTTTGTGATTTTTGGTAACGACAGGGTTTCACCATGTTGGCCAGGCTGGTCTTGAACTCGTGACCTCAAGTGATCCGCCCACCTTGGCCTCCCAAAGTGCTTGGATTACAGGCATAAGCCACCACACTCGGCCAGCTCCACCATCTAAGAGCTGCATCTGTAGCAGCCCTCCCTCTCTTTAAGCTTCAGTCTCATTTGTAACACAGGACTAATTATACCAACCCCATTGACAGAGAAATCAAATGAAATTACAGGTGTTCAAATTTGCCCTCCTCAGAGGCTTTCTGTGTAAAGCAGTTACTATCCCATCCCCACTGTTAGCACCCAATTTTTGCCTCCGTAGCAGTTATCACAATCTTTATTTTGTTCATTACCTTGTTTACTGAATTTTATTATTTTAGAGAAAAGGTGCTCTGTCACTCAGGCTGGAGTGCAGTGGGGTGATCATGGCTCACTTCAACCTCGAACTCCTGGACTCATGTGATCCTCCTGCCTTTGCCTTGAGGAGCTGGGACTACAGGCATGCATCACCACGCCCAGCTAATTTTTTTAAAATTATTTTTTGTAGAGACGGAGGTCTATTTTTTGTAGAGACGGAGGTCTATTTTTTGTAGAGACGGAGGTCTCGAGGGCTGGGTGCAGTGGCTCATGCCTGTAATCTAGGCATTTTGGTAGGCCAAGGTGGGCAGATCACCTGAGGTCAGGAGTTCGAGACCAGCCTGGCCTACATGGCGAAACACTGTCTCTACTAAAAACACAAAAATTAGCTGGGCGTGGTGGCATGCACCTGTAATCCCAGCTACTCAGGAGGCTGAGGCAGGAGAGTCGCTTGAACCTGGCAGGCGGAGGTTGCAATGAGCCGAGATCGTGCCATTGCATTCCAGCCTGGGCGACAAGAGCGAAACTCTGTTTAAAAAAAAAAAAGAAAAGAGAGAGTTGGAGGTCTCGCTACGTTGCCTAGGCTGGTCTTGAACTCCTGGCCTCAAGCCATCCTCCCACCTCAGCCTCCCAATGTGCTGGGATTGTAGGCGTGAGCCACGAAACCTGGCCTGAATTTTTCCGTCTGCATTCCTGTATTTTCCCTGAGCCTGGCCTGTGGCAGGGGTTTAATACATTTGTGTTAATGGCTGCTTGAATGACTACATGATTTTGTGTAGCCTTTCCAACACTCGTGCCCGGCAAATGGAATGATTCCCCTTTAACACATGGGTGAGCCAAGGGTCAGCAAACTTCAGCCCCTGGACCACATCCAGCCACCATCTGACTGTGCAGAGCCTGCAAGCCAAGAATGAGTCTTAGATTTTTAAATGACTGGGAGACATAAATTGAAACAAGAATTTTTCATGGCATGTAAAATTATATACAATTCAAACTTCTACATCCATAAATATGTACTGGGCCACACCCATTCATTTACGTGCTTTCTGTGGTGCTCGGGCACTGTGAGGCAGTGAGAGGTTGCAGAAACCATGTGGCCCACAAAGCCGAGAACAGTCACTGTGTAGCTCTTACTGTAGCTTTCTTTCCTTT